AACAGCRTCCTGTTTGGCAAAATGTCAGGAGTATCCTGGAATATTTCCTCGAGGCCCATATCATGATGCCCTGCTGTCTCACTCTCTAAAACACCCCTTCTAACCCTCCACATCCTGACAAGACAGGAGGCCCCGGCCATCTGCCTGGACCATCATCAGAAACTCCCAACATGTCCCTTTGCTATCCCTACAATCTGTTCTTGGGTAGCAGCCTTCACCGGCTTCTTCTCCCGGAGTTAGGCTTCCTAGAGCAAGGGCAAGAAAAAGAATCTAAGCCATTTTACAGCCTTTTTTAGTTTCTCAAACCAGTCGAAAAAAAAAATTTGAAAAGTCATAAACTGCTAATGGTCTTATTGTTAAGAATCTCTGAGAACCTGAATCCTCTGAGTGACTGAGATAATATCGTTTTTCTTATTAACGGAGGAACTAGCCCCCAAAATCCCTGTGACAGGCACTCTGACCTAGATAATTCTCTTACTGGTTCCCCAAACATGAGGGAGCAGACAGGAAGGATTAGGCTTCGAGCTGAGAAAGCAACAGAAAGTTACTTAATGAGCAGCTGGTTCTATGTCCACAGGGGCCAAGWCGAGGAATAATGGGCAAGAAGAATTCAGTTCGTATACTTCTGAGGCTCTTCAGAAAAATCTTAGTTTGGAACACTGAAAWAGGCTGTATAAATTGGCATTTATACTCTGACTCCACAGCAGGTTTTCTACTCACGCTTTGATTGCCTAGCAGTATAGATTTTCATCTCTTTTAAGACAGGGGTTGAGCTTTTCTCTTTTACAGGTATATTTATCACCTGTCTTTGGGGGCAATTTCCTTATTCATTCATAAAGGATCCAGTAAATAAAGGCATTAGCCCTCTATCATGCTTTTTTTTTTTTTTTTTTACTTTGTGTCTGGAATTCATTCCAATCATAAAGGTTTGAGAGGGTGTTTGGTTTTTTTTTTTTTTTTTTTGTTTTTTTTTGGTCTCAAATTTATTGATCTTTTTCTTTATGACTTCTGGGCTTCATGCCCTATTTGGAAAGGTTCTCTCCACTCCAAGCCCCCCCCCMAAAAAATAGATGCATTGTGAGGACTTTTTAAAACAAAAATTTCAGCAGGGCACACGGTGGTGCACGCCTGTAATTCTAGCTGCTACGGAGGCTGAGGCAAGAGGATAGTGAGTTCAAGGCCAGCCTCAGCAATGGTGAGGCACTAAGCAACTCAGTGAGATCCTGTCTCTAAATAAAATACAAAAAAAGGGCTGGATGTGGCTCAGTGTTTGAGTGCCCCTGAGTTCAATCCCTGGTACCCCCCCCAAAAAAAAAAAATTCAGAAAGTGAAAACAACGCTCTGGTAATACAAACAGCTACCAAAACCTGTTTAAAAATATGTCTCAGATTTGACTTCCATAGTTGTGATCACGGAAGGGAAGGAGACAGACACGTGGCTCAACTGCCCAGTTCAAAGCTCCCCAGCTCCGAACTGCTTGAAGCGTACACACATGTGCACACATTCCACAGATGTGGTCCTATCTATAGTTTTATGATGCTGTGGAGACAGATAAAGATAGGATGCCAGAAAGATACGTGCTTAGGATGGTCACTTGAGAGGACGGCCAGTGCAGCAAAGGATCGCCAGCCAAGTACAAGGGTTTTCACGAGAAAAATAGTACAAGTTGTTCATTTAGATCTTTTTGTATTAACACTCTACTTCCTTAAGAAAAAAAAACTGTTCTGTGATAAAGAGTGACCAAAAAAACCCAAAAAAACTCACAGACCACTTTTGCCAAAGTGGACATAAAATAGCACAGCTACACTTTGCCAAAGAATGGAGCTTGTACATCTGTGTAAATGTGTTGGTGTGAATGTGTGGGGTGTGTGTGTGTGTGTGTGTGTGTGTTCTTATCTAGGTGCAGGAAGAGTTCAACTGTGGCAGATGTAGGGAATTTAAAAACTAGTATAATACACATCTACTGGTTTCCTTATGACACTCTAACACTGCCTAACAAATTTGATGGAGTAGTTTTTTAAAAATAGATTCTTATTGTGCGTGTAAAAAGTGAAAGAGCATTTGTGACCTATATTTTTCATGCGATTATACACAAAATAATTTTAAAATCTACTAGTAATAAATGAAGTTTACAGAATCCAAGTACCTTGCTATAGAGTTATTCTCAGTTCTAGACTCTGTGACCACAGCCACACCACAAGGCAACCGGTCTAAGTGCAGAATTCTGGGCCCCATTCATAGACCTCCTAACTCAGCCTCCCTGTCAAGAACCAGATATGAGCATTTTTTTAAATATATATATTTTTTAGTTGTAGTTGGACAGAATGACTTTATTTTATTTATTTTTATTTGGTACTGATTATTGAACCAGTGCCTCGCATGTACTAGATGAGCACTCTACCACTGAACCACAGCCCCCAGCCCCCAGATATGAGCATTTTTAAAGTTCCACCACTGATCCAGGTTTGGGGCCACTGCCCTAGGAAATGCAAACCAGTCTTGTATAGGTAGACTCCCATTGTTAGGTATCACTTAATAATCAGCAGTGGAACACAAAACCAATAACAAAACAGGGTCAAGGGTTTCTTTGAATTGCCTTTAATGAATAATTGAGTAACCTGTAGAAAAAAACCACAGGTGTACTAACCCTAAGGATAAACAGGTGGAAACAAACAGAATCAATGAAGAAATACATCAAGAAGGAAAGATCTACTGGAATCACTGTATACTTAGGATTTATGGCTGTAAGTTTCTTAATGTATTTCACAAGGAAGATTAGTAGTGCTGAACAAAGACAAAGTTCACTGGCCCCAGCACCTGCATTAACACAGAATTCATGTACAGAAAACACCCATCATCACCATGGGATGGTCACCATGATGATTCCAGAAAGGACCAACTAGGGTCAAAAATTCCCCCACCTGGGGACGATAATACGAAAGATAGTAGAATGAATCGGACATAACTTTCCTATGCTCATATATGAATATATGACCAGTGTCACATCATGTACAACCACAAGAATGAGAAGTTATACTCCATGTATGTATGAAATGTCAAAAAAAAAAAAACATTCTACTGTCACGTATAACTAAAAATAAATAAATAAAAGAAAAAAAATTCCCCACCCAATGTGACAGAGGACTCCAACATCAGATTGGTAAAGACTGCAGAAGATAGACCCCAGTTCTCACAGCAAACATAAAACAGTGATAAATTTAAAAGTGGCATTAACTTTCCTTTGTCTTGTCTGCTCAGAGACAGCCCACCCTCTTTCTCTCCTGAGAGCGTTCTTTGCTGTCACTTATGATGAAAATTCTCTTCCTTGGCTTTTTATGTCTGACCTTAAATTTTCTTTTGTTAGGACATAAGAACCAAGGCTTGGAGCCTTGCTGCCCATGCTCCTGTGACGTCATCCTGTAAAACAGTACCTTGCACACTGACTTTCACCTTGGTCCATGGATGGAGGGGAGACTGAGGATCATCCTCTGAAGATCACAAATTCCACTGTGTCCCTGATGACAAGTCATGTCATGGTCTTAAAAGGTTCACTTTAGGGATGCTGAAGACTTCACCCAACACCTAAACTTCCTCACAAGAGTGACTTAGATTGTGGGGATTTTGTTCATGTACCCATGACAATAAAGGAGAACTRACTCCTTCTTTGGCTTAGAGAAGGCCTACATGAAAAGCTGAGTCTTTCTGATACTAAGGTGAAATAAAAGACAAGGTATACTCTTGCTGCTTGGCAAGCAGATGATTAACCTAGGATATACAGGAACTACAAAAAAAATAATAAAACAATCATATCTTTAAGGGTCAAGATAACATTAATTTGTGCTGAATCAAGAAGGCCAGCGTGAAACTGATCAAAAATGGCTCAGGTCTCATTATGTAGCCCCTAGAAAAATAGAGACAAACTATAACCTCCATTAATTGGCAGGAGGCATCAGAAGCTCCAGCCGTGCAGTCCCCTGAGCTCATTGCTGTGCTAAGAATTCAGGATGTTATGGGGTAAAATGTTTAAGAGTTTTTAAGCCTTTCTAATGTAATTTTCAACAAGAAGAATTTGTGGTAGTTCCAGTACCCACAGTCTAATTCTAGCCAGATGCTTTTCCCAATTTTTTAAATTTATTTTTAGCCAACCACATGGCTTCAGTGGAAACTGAAAACGATAGTCAGACACAGTTTTCATCACATACACAGTGTGAAAATAGTAACACTTGGTGTGTTTCTGTGTAGATTATTTTTTTTTTTAGGAAAGCCATAAAATGCACTGTGAAATAATGTAGTTTAAATATGCTGATGTTACTATCCAGAGTCTCTCCCAGGAAGTCAGAAAGATCAAGATAAGCAACACAATCATCTACCATCATCTAAATACACTGCAGCATCTTGTTCAGCATCTTTTATTCAGAGACTTTCAAGCGTTCTATATAGAATCAGTGGTCAATGGCACAGCGTAAGTGGCTTGAACTGCATTTTTATGAATTGGCATAAGAACTGACCAAAGCTGAGAAATGTTTAAATTCTCTTTTCACTCAATATCTCCACCTCTCTCTCTCTCTCTCTCTCTCTCTCTCTCTCTCTCTCTCTCTCTCTCTCTCTCACACACACACACACACACACACACACACACCCTCTGACTCAGAAGGGAATTAACAAGCTTTGGTTTTGTTTTGCTTGTGAGCAACTGGGTGAAACCAATCATGACAGCTCAGTTATCCCATCCATCATATAAGAAGTGTTAAATGACCCGGAAGCTCAAACTTCAAGGCTTCACAATCAATTTACTTTCTCTTACCCTGGAAGGAAATCTTCCTCCTCTACAATGGGAAATATGGAGGGGGCATTCCTGCCAATCCAGAATCTGCATGTGAAGACTTTCCAGAGCCCTTTTGTTATGCACTAAAGTCACCCTCCAAAATCAGTCCCCCCAAATCAAAAACAACCTGAGGGCAAAGAGTATACTAGGAAGAGATGAACTAAGATCAACTTACTGGAGATGTAGTTAACCGAAGGATAGTGCCATTCTTTATTTCATTGCGATTCTGGAAAAGAAAAAAAAAAAAAAAGACAGTCTTGGTCAATGTTCAAATAGAAGCTCAGTGAAGAAGAAACAAAGCCAGGTCTAGGGTTGTGGCTCAGTGATCGAGCGCTTGCCTAGCAGGTGTGAGGCACTGGCCTCGATTATCAGTACCACATATAACTAAGTGAGTAAAATAAAGGTCCATCAAAAACTAAAATTTAAAAGAAGGAGGAGGAGGAGGAGAAACAAAGCCAAATATAGCCTAGTATTCAAACTAGATAATAAATTGAGGTGGTTTTTTTTGTTTTGTTTTGTTTTGTTTTTGAGGCGGGGATAGGTGTACTGGGATTGAACCCAGTCGTGCTTAACAACTGAGCCACATCCCAAGCCCTTTTTGTTTTTTTATTTTGTAATAGGGTCTCACTAAGTAACTTTAGGGCCTTGCTAAGTTGCTGAGACTGGCTTTGAACTTTTGATCTTCATGCCTTAGCCTCCTGACTGCTGGGATTATAAGCATGTGTCACCATGCCCAGCAATAATAAGCATTTTTTTGATTCACCTTATTCTCACTTTAGTAATTTTTAATTATTTTTAAAAAGAATTTCAACCAGGGTTCCAGATGTGTTGACTTTATATCAAGTCACAGATAATGTTCAGCACAGAGTAAGTGAACACAAAACTAAAGAACAGGAATAAGGGACCCAAGAACAGCAAACAAAAAAGAAATAATTTTAAAGTTTCTTCAGGGAATATGACCTAGCATTTCTACTCCTATATCTATATCTGAAAGTACTGAAAACACATATCCACACAAAAACTTGTATACTAATGTTCATAGAAACACTATTCACAATAGGCCATATGTAGAAACAAACCACATGCCCATCAACTGGGGAACAGATAAATAAAAGTGGTCTATCCAGTCAATGGGAAATTATTAGGTCATGAAGAGAAATGAAGTAGTGATATAGGCTATAACATGGATGAACCTTGAAAACAATAAACATAAGAAGCCAGACACAAAAGGACACATTTTATATGATTTCATTTATAGAAAATGCCCAGAACAGGCAAATCCATAGAAATAGGAAGCAGATTATGGATGCCAGGGGATAAGGAAGGGGAATCTYAGAGGGTCATTGCTAATGGGTACAGAGTTTCTTTCCAGGGTGATGAAAATGTTCTACTATTAATTGTAGTGATAGTTTACAACTCCATGAATATACTAAAAACTACCAAATTAAACAACTTTAAAAAGTGCCATTTGACCCAGTTATCTCACTCCTCAGTTTCTACACAAAGGACTTAAAATCAGTATATTACAATGACACAGCCACATCAATGTTTACAGCCACTCAACTCACAATAACTCACAATAACTAAGCTAAAGACAATGTGAGATTACACACACACACACACACACACACACACATACATATACCTACACAATGGAATATTACTCAGCCTTAAAGAAAAATGAAATTATGGCATTTGCAGGTAAATGGATGAAACTGGAGACTATCATGCTAAACAATAAGTCAATCCCACAAAAAGGAAGGCCCAGTGTTTTCTCTGATATGCGCATGATAACTCACAATAAAGGCAGAAGAGCTAGGGAAGAATAGAGTTACCTTAGATTAGGTAGAGGGGAGTGAATGGAGGAGGGGGGTCTGAGGATAGAAAGAATATTAGAATGAATCAGACATTATTACCCTATATACATATATGACTACACAAATGGTGGGGTTCTACATCATAAATAACCAGAAAAAATGAGAAATTATACTCCACTTATGCATGATGTATCATAGAGCATTCTACARTCATGTATAATTAATTAAAACAAATTTTAAAAAAGAAAAAAATGTGCAATTTGGTATATTAAGTATATCTCAATAAAGCTGTTAATTTTTTAAAGTTTAGAAGCCCTGTTTGTTAACATTTGCTGGTTCCTTCTGCATGTGGAGCAGATCCCAAGTCAGTCTGCCTGCACTTGGCAAGTAAATCGAGGTGAGCGTGTTGAAGCCAGGACTCTGCATCTTCGGCACCATAACAGAATTACACTGGCAGTTTCATGTCCTTCCACCAGAGTCCTCCCCATGCTCAGTCTCCAGGAGGTGGCCTGCCAGGACCCAACCTGGCTGCATCCCCCACAAGGAGCCCTGAGGCCGGGAGGTGCACAGAGGACCTTGAGGATGCTCTCCTGCATCAAGACAAGACACAAGCTGGAGTTCGCTCAGGAAGCAGCAGATACAGAAGGTGGTGGCAAATTACTTGAGATGTCAAAGGCATCCCTTGCTTCCACTGCCAATTCTGACTACTTACAACAAATTTTTACTTTCTTCACTGGGAATTGAACCCCAGTGGTTCTCTACCACTAAGTTCCATCCCCAGCCCTTATCATTGTTCATACTGAGACAGAAGCCCTCTGAATTTCTGAGGCTGGCCTTGAACTTGCAATCCTCCTGCCCCAAGTACCTGGGACTACAGGCATGAGCTACAGTGTCCAGGTGGATAATGAATTTTCTAAAATGAACAACCTGAAAGGGGGCAGCCTTCAGGCCAGTCATCCCTCCCAAGGAAAACTGCATCTAAAGGTTTCACACCAAGTGCAGGGGGACTGAAACCCAACCCTGCTGAATGAAAACCCTATGGGGACTGCCATCTAAGGTGTCCCTGACACAATGGGCCACCTCTGAGTGAGCTTGCACCTAATAACCTCAAGTGTGCTGAATGGTCACTAGGTAGGGAGACTCAGGATGGCAAAATAAATTCAGGTCATTTGTAAAATCCCTTCCACTCTAAAATTCTATGACTCTAATAAGAGAACTGAAAAGGATGGCAAACACTAATTAAGGAAAATTAGGGAAGCTGAACACATCACATACCTCTTCCCTGCTCAGCTTCTAAACAAACAGAAATTCAGGAGCCATAAGCCAGAGAACTAAAACAGCCTCTTGATTAGTGATTACAGAGAACAAGCCTGGGAACCTGCAGACTAGCAAAATGAACCCTCAGGTGTGCTTTGCCTGGTAAGTCAAGGCGAGTTCCTTCCCAAGGGGAGAAAGGAAAAGTGTATTTTTGCCCAATTTTCTAAACAAGTAGTGAAAGAGGCCAGGAGATAATTTAGAGATCATCTCTTATCATGAAAATCTGGAGTCGAGGGTGAGGCATCCCTGGTAACACTATTAAGCTAATCATTTCTTGAAAGGCACCAGGATGAGGGTTCTTACTTTTAGTGCTTATTTAACCACCGCAATAGCTCTTAGCCCCATTTTAAAGACCCCAAACCAAAGCTTCTAAGTTATTTATTTGTCTAACATCATGCACAAAACCAAGAGCCCAGGTCACCAGAAGCTGTGCTCTATCTACCTGGAGAAGAAAAGAAGATTCAGATCTTGTCTGTTTCCTTACTGGGTAATAGTCAGTTAATGTTCTTGAAAGGGAAGAGGGAAGAATGGAGTTAATTCATGCTCTGCAGATTCCCAGAGCTTGCCTGCCAAGTCCAGGAGTACATACAGGGTCCTGGGAAGGAGTAGGACAGGGGTGGAATTAAGCAGGTACATTCAGGCACTCCTGCTCTACTGACTCCTTACTTTCTGGAACCCAAGCAAGACTGCTTTGAAGAAAGGACCTTAAGGATTATTTGTTTGTTTAAAAATCAAATCAGGATATTTCTATTAAAGGAATGCAGGAGGCATTAAATAAGATACAACAAAAAGCTCGTAACTCTCATATATCTGGGTTACCAAGACAAACGCAGAGACGACTGCAATATAAATGCAAAGGTATGTGACCACTGAAACTTCACTGGAGTTCTCTTTGAAATGGCTAATTGAATTCTTTGGCGAGTGATTCATTTTTAAATGCCTATGGCACTATTTCTACATTTGTGTCATACTTGTTTCATATTATTTTATTTYCCATACTGACTTAAAATCTTTTAAAAAGTCAGGGATTCCCACGTTGCATTCCTCTGGGTGCATATCACCTCCATATTAATGCTGAAGTAGTTATAATTAGTCCTAATAAACAAGCCTAAATCCCAAAAAATAATAAAATAAAAGCAGGCCAAGCATGTTGGCATTCACCTGTCATCCCAGCAAATTGGGAGGCTGAGGCAGGAGGATTGTAAGTTTGAAGCCAGCCTCAGCAATTTAGTGAGCCCTCAGCAATTTAGCAAGACCCTATCTCAAAATAAAACATAAAAAGGGCCAGGGATGTAGCTCCATGGTAAAGCACCCCAGGTTCAATCCCAAGTACCAAAATTCATAAAAATAGATAAAACTAAAGCATATTAAAAGCACTGATTGGCAGAGCTTCCTGCCTTGAAGCAGCTGGGCAGACTCAGTGCAAGCTGCTTAACTGACCTGACCTAATGTTTCCTCCTCCTTAAACTGGGGTGAACAATTCATTGTTTAGAGAGTGTAGTAGGAACAAGAGGTGCCCTATGTGCTGGGCCTGTCCTGGGAAGGCTGAAGAGTGACATCTGCTTTTCCAGGGGGTGGGGCTCTCCTCCCCTGGCTGGGCCTTCTCAGTCAGCAGTCCATTCACCTTCTCTTCCTTCCTCTCCCCCATTTTGAAATCAGTGTTTTATATTCTGGAATAAAAGAAGATTTGCAGAAGAGCTATCTTTTTATCTCATATTTTTATTTAGAAAGAGGTAAGCTTCAGGTCCCACAAGAATATAGACAAACTCAGAAAGGCAATGGCGGGCTCTGCTTTGGAGACTAAGCCCTAGTGGTAAGTAAAGGGGATGGAACCTCTTTGTGTGTGGATGACACCATTCTCTCTGTAATGAAGAATATCAACTGTTTTTACTCCAAGATTCTTTTAATCCCTCATCTCAAATTTCCTACCTGGGAATGCAAACCTTTTTAACCAAGGAAAAAAATCTGCCTGATGCTGTGATTTCATAAATTCTACCCAACCAGCCCAGAGCATGCCTAAGAGTGATGTGAATGACAAGATTGGACAAAAAAAAGTCACTTTTATATGGAGACCTGGTACAGGTGGCATGGC